CTCTCACATAAACTTGAAAAACGCATAACTCGCTTCAAAGTTGTCCGTTTTGCTTCATTTTTTCCCTATTGGCTTCAGAACTTTAGGTATTTTTACATGCAATGAATTAATTTCCAGTCCATGCCACCCCTGATCAACAGTGAGTACTTCAAAATGAACACACTGGAACGAATGAAGTTCGCTCTATGGAACTATCGATCGGAGAGGAATTTTGGAGATTTGAAGTTTGAAAAACAAATTGTTGTGGAGATTCCGAACAAAAAATGGGAGTGTGACTTGATACGAATCGCGAATTGGTTATTACACTCTGAGCACTTTCGAATGTTGCCCCTGGAAGAGAAAATGGCGATTTTCAAAAAAATTTGGATGCGATGGAGGAAGTTTGAGAAATGGCTCATTTCGGTGGACACATTTGGACACAAAGTGTATAAGGAGAATGTGATAGTGTGCTCGAATTATAATGCGGCCAATTTGAATAAGATTCAAATTGATTATTCAAATATTACTGATAGATCGAATGATGAAATGAATCAGTGAGTGTTTTTCAAAAATTTTTGAGAGATTTTCTAAAACTCGAAAATTTATTTCTGAAAAATTCTAAAAGTTTTGCGACAAGAAAAAGAAAGTTTCAAAAAAAAATTGGGAACATTTTTCTGAAAAAATCTGAATCAACCTAAAATCTAAAAAAGCTAGAATTTGAATTCCTGCAAATGTAAAATTCGAAAACTCTAAAATTCTCTGCGGAAAAATTTCAAAAATGTTCTGAGCAATTCTGGAAAAAAAAATCCAAAAATCCATTTCGGAAACAATTTTTTCAAAAATTTAAAAAAGTTTGAAAAATGGAAAATAAATTCTGAAAAATTCTGAAAAAGTTGAAAATTTTGAAAGGTAAAAAATTTGAAAGGAAATTTAAAAATTGGAAAAAAAACTCAAAAATCGAAATTTGAAGTTTTGAAATTCTTAATAATTATTTTTTTTGACTAATTTTGAGAATTTATAAAATTTGGCTTTTTAAAACAAATTCCCAATTTTTTCAGGCTATTCGGAAAGCAACTATGGCGAATGCAAAGGGAAGTTGCAAAACCTCTGGCTGAAATAGCACCATCCACAATCGAAATGACCTATATGTTGTGCCAACTGGTTTGGAATAGTTTAGGTAAATTGTTTATCCGATTTTTAATAAAAATTGGATTCCAACAGTGAAAAAATGAATAAAAACGAGCTATTTTGAAGGGAGTTACGGTGGCTTCAGGTTTGAGAGGGCGAGAGAGTGCGAGACGCAGGCGCGCAAACACTCTGCGTGTCTGCGTCAGCCCCACAGTCTTTCGGCGCAAAACTTCAATACCCCGTAACTCGCTTTAAAATAATCTGTTTCATTTGTTTTCTTCATTGTCTAGAAGGAAATTTTATAGACTTTTCAATTTTGTAGTTTTCCTGAATCTAAAAATTCCTTATTCGAAAAAAAGTGAGTAAGAAACTAGAGTAGAAACTTTCAAACGTTTATGGAGTTATGAGACGTTGAAGTTTTACAAGCAAGAGGGTGCGCGACACAGACGGACAGAGTGTTTGCGCGCCTGCGTCTCTTCTCTCTCGCGCCGCCAAACTTAAAACAACCGTAACTCCCTTCAAAATCCTCCGTTTGTGCTCAACTTTTTTGCGTTTCCCTCAAATTTTTTATATTTTCATTTCAGACGTCGAACTTGACAACTACTCCGTCGACGTTGGCGAGAAGTTTCTCAACGAGATCTCAGAAAACCTCCACGAATATTACGCGGAGCAGAACGTTCAAAACTACGCGTGGCGTCTTCAAAAGCTCATGAAAATTGTGAATAATGTGAAAGAAATCGAGCGGGAACGCGAGGAAATGATGAAGTTGGCCGAACTGTTCGACGTCTTCAAAATCAAACTCTCCGATAAGGATCTCTTTATTTGCTAGACTTTTTAAAGATTTTGTAGATAGACTAGGTTTCTCTTGAATTTTCCTAGGCCACCCAATTACCTCATGTACAGACATATTTAATAAAAAATTATATTTGGACCCAATTCTTTTTTTTTGTGATTTTTTGTGTCATATGTTCCAAAGATCATATTTATTCTATCTGATGAGCCCCAAAAAAAATTTCTGTCTTCTGATTCTTAATCTGAAGACGTGACGTCTTCAGATCAGACCTGTGATCTGGAGACGTAAGAAGATAGATTCGCGATTCGGTGAACTGATTTGGAAAAAAGAAACAAAAAAGACAAAAAAATCGGGTAACGATTTGATTGATCTGTGATGATGGTGATTTGATCTGCTTCCGCCCCCGCCTTATCAGTTCATATCATTTTATCTTTTTTGTAGAATATGTCCTCGACGCCTTCTTCATCATCCACGTCATCTGAAATTGGGGCGGACTGCAAAGTTTGTGGGCTTAACGCTCATGGTGTCCATTTTGGAGTCATGTGCTGCAGAGCGTGTGCAGCGTTTTTTAGGTGAGAGCTCACTTGTTTTAAGAGTTATCAAAAAAGTGTTAACTGATAAAATATTTGTCTTAATATTCTTAACATTTTAGTAGTTAACAAAATTTTAATATCTTTTTTAGGAATTGAGATAATTGAGCTCAAAGTATGAAGCTTTGAATGTATGTCTAACTAAATGAGTTCATACTTGAAACTGAATTATCTCGGATCTTTCGAGAGATATCAAAAAAGTGTCAACTGATAAAATATTTGTCTTGATGTTTTTAACATTTTAATAGTTGACTAAATTTTGTTATCTTTTTTAAAAACTGAGATAATCAAGCTCAAAGTGCGCGTGTGAGGCGAGCTTCTGTTACAGTATGTCGTCCGCTACTTTGACTCCAATTATCTTTGTTCTTGAGAGAGATATCAAAAAATAGTCGATTAATAAACTATTTATCATAATATCAGCAACATTTTATCAGTAGACAAATTGTGGATATCTTTTTAGGAACTGAGATAATCAGATCCAAAGTATAAACAATGTTGATACATTTCCCCGAATATCATGGCTTTTTTAATGGAAATTCGTCAACTTCTAAGCGCTACAAAAGTAGTCCACAGTTTTCAAATTTTATTGAAAAGTCAAGAGCATACTAATCAAAAATAGAGCTTTAATTTTGCAGATAGTAATTTTTCTGTAGAAATTGGTTCAAATGAAATGAACCACTTGAAAAGAACGAAGCACTAAAAACAGATTAATTTTTCTCTAATAGAAGGCCAAGCTATATGATTACTTCGAGCTCAATTATCTCGGTTCCCTCAAGAGATATCAAAAAGTGGTAAACTGATAAAATGTTTAACATGATATCAACAACATTTGATCGATTTACCACTTTTTGATATCTTACACAGGAAATGAGATAAATTGGCTCAAAGTTGACGGTTCAGGGGCAAGGGATATTAGTGTGTTTGCCGTATTTGCTTTAACTTAAATTATCTCTGTTCTCTTAAGAAATATTGAAAAGTTTAAACTGATAAATTATACATCATAACGTCACCAATATTTTATCAGTTGACCACTTCTTGATATCTCTCACAGGAAATGAGATATATGGGCTCAAACTTGACCGTTTAAGAGCATTCCTTATTGTTAGAGAGGTTGCGGTATACATTTTTAAAATCTCAATTGTCTCGGTTCCCTTGAGAGATACCGAACAACTTTTAACAAATAAAATTATTGTCATATCATTTCACACATTTTATCAATTGACAAAAATTTGATATCATTTCTAAGAACAAAGATAATTAGGGTCAAAGGGAAGGTGTACAATTACCTGAGCAACACAAACATAAATGTCCGTCACATTTTTGATTTGTGACATTTTGTGTGTTGATTTTTTCTTACCAGTTGGTTTACGTCTCTTCGGGGCTAAACCTCCTGGCCCCGCTTACAAGACCCGTAATCTAATAAAGAAAGTCCGTCACTTTTACAGAGGCTATTTTTCAGGGCCTATGCTCACAAATTCGAAAATTAGGAGATTTTCAGTTTAAGAAAATGATTTTTTGGAAACTCAGGATCTCGGTAGTTTCGTAATTTAACATCTCAAATATGAGGAGATTTGAATTTCTGAGAATTCGAAAAGTCAGTTTTTAATGCATATAAGCTTAAACATTGTGATGAAGGAAATAAGTCTAACAAAACTTCTGTAACTCTCAAATTTGCAAATTTAGAAGTTCGAAAATTCTGAAATTCAGAAATTCTGCAAATCTGGAACTTCTGAAATCGCAAAACCAATTTTGCAAATTTTTGGCAAATTCAGGAATATAGCCTATAAAGCCATTCATAATTAAGATTGGAAATTTTTTAGCTCTTAAAATTTGAAATCCAGAAAATCGTTTCACTTCAGAACAGCGACTAAAAATTTTGGGAACAAAATTTCGAAAAAAAATCTAAAAATCGAATTTCATGAGTTCAGAATTGAAAAATTTCAAAAACTAAAAATTTCAGATAAACTTAGGAGTTTGGAAGTTTTTAAATTTTTTCAAAAGAAGTTCAGAAAGGTTCAGAAATTCAGCAGTTCACTTATTTGAAAACTGAGGGATTCATGATTCAGAAATTCTGATTTTCGAATTTCCTAATTTCTGAGTTTCTGAAGTTATGAAATTCTGAAATTCTGATTTGTTTTTAAGATTCTGAAATTTTGATTTTTGGTTTTTCGAATTACCAAATTAGGACTTTCTGAAATTAAAGAATTTAATCTCAGAAATTCCAGTTTTTTGAGACTCTTAATTTCTGAATATCTGGGTTTCTGATTTTTTTTTTGAGATTCTGCCTTTCTGATCTTCAGAATTTCCGATTTTGCAAATTTCTGCATTTCTGCATTCAGGAATTTCTGATTTTCGGTTATTTTTAAAACTTTAAAGTTTTGAATTTTTCGATCCGAAAATTCACACATTTTAATCTTTTGGAATTTGGAAATTTATAGTTCTAAAATCCAGGTTTCTATAGTTTCAGCATTTAAAAAATTTGGAAAATTTGGAAATTCAAAACCTTCGAAATTCGAATGATTTTAATTTCTTAAAACTTAAAGCCTAAGAAGTTCAAAGACTACATTGAACGCGTTCGTATTGATCTCTGAGGGCGCTTGTATTTTTCTCTGATTTCTTATCATAATTTTTAGATACTTTCAAATCTTCAGAACCCAGACTGAATGTCTCTTCGCACAAAATCATCTTTTTGTTTGATATAACGTGGATAGGAGAAAAAATAGGGCGATGGGCGGGAATGGCGTGAAAATAATTTCTAAAGATTTGCACTGTAGAAGTAGAAAATCATATTCAGAAGACGTCAAAAATCGAATATCGAAACATAAAATAGACGGGCATCATTTCGCTGCTATTTCGGGTCATCTGTGAAAATTTGGGAAATTTTGGTCCAGTGGTGAGTTCGCTACGGTCTCAGAACCGGGAACACCGGACACACACACACAGAATTTGGTGATTGTTAATAGTAAAGATTTGGGATATACACATTGTTAGATTGTAGTCTAAAAGAGAGTCAATTCGTATTTTTCTGAAAACAGATTGAACGAATTTGTGTTGTTTTTTCCATTCACACGAGCTGAGTTGAGCTAAATTTATTTAAGACAAATCGGTCAAAATTGACAAAAAATTTTCAAATTCAAGTGTATGGACAACTATTTTCAGACGAACAGTAGTGATGGGACGGCAAAAGAAATACCAATGTCGTGGTGGCAAGGAAAAGTGTGCAGTTAGTAGTACGGATAGGTAAGATTTTTTAAATTTTAAATTTTCTAAAAAAAACCCAGATTTTTTTGGTTCTAATAGTCGGAAAATGACTTATCTAGCTAAATTATGAAGGGAGATGTGAGCATTTAAAGTTTCGAAGCGAAATAGCGTGAGGAGAGGGGAGACGGAGAGAAGCTAGCCTCTCTGCGTCTCCCCTACACTCACACTCTCTTGTTTTGAAACTTTAAAACGTCATAACTTCCTTCAAAATCTAGATAGAAAACTCATTTTTTGACAATTGGAATCAGAAAAATGTGAAATTTATAAAAATTTTTGCAGGTATCAATGCCGACTCTGTCGATTTAACAAATGCGTAGAACTCGGAATGACACCAGAAAATGTGCAATGGCATCGTGACTCTTTTCCAAAACCAAAAAAATCCTCAAAAATCGATTATCAAAAATCGGAAAATGAGAAAGCGGAAAGTCTAGTGTTGGGAAAACCAAGAACAGTGATGGATTTATCAAAATTATCCGGAAAAATAAGAGACATTCTGAATGAGAAATCCGGAGGAATCGATCCAAAAACGAAGAAAATGAATTCTCTGGAAATCGCGGATTATTGTCTCAGGAAGTGGAGAAACCAACAAAGGCCAGAAGAGCAAATGGAGAGTGTGGAAACACTTCCAATTCGTCAAATGTTCGGAATCTTCGAGAAACAGATGATTGTGGTGGCAGAGTGGTTGATACAACAGCCGGATTTTAGACTGTTGGATGCAACAGAAAGAGTGAGTGGATTTCAATAATTCAAAGTTCATAAAATTTTATATCTAACAGTCAAAAAACCATTTTGAACGGACCATTTTGAAGGAAGTTATAGGCATTTGAAGTTTGGCGGCGAGAGACTGCAGGAGAAGGGACGGGCGCAGAGAGGCTAGATTGTCTGCCCCCTCCTCTTTCCCCACACTCTCTCGTTTGTAAACTTGAAAAGCCAATAAATTCCTTCAAATTTGTCTGTTCGGGATGATGTTTTTATTATTGAAAGTGGAATTTTTCGTAAATTTTGTTAGATTTACAATCTTGGTTGTGCTAATGATTCAAACTCGATTAATGGTAAATTCAGAATTGTGGAAAGTTTTCAGAAAACATCAAAAGCAGAAAACGCACCAAATTTCATGTCTAACAGTGAAAAAAATTATCCGAAACGGACCATTTTGAAGGGAGTTCTGCCATTTTGAAGTTTGCAGGCAAGAAAGCGTGCCTGATTACGAGACGCAGAGAAGCTGGCTTGTCTGTGTCTCCTACTCTCTCACCGTCAAACTTCAAATACCTATAACTCCTTTCAAAGTGGTCCATTCTCATCGATTCTTTTTACATCCCGTCTAGAATTTTCTCCTTTTTACAGTAATCCAGATCTTTTTTTTCAGTGGCAGTACTTCAAAGCGATGTGGAACATGTGGCGACGATTCGAGAGATTCGCAATGTCCGTGCAAATGTTTGGCACTAGGACAATCGAGCAAAATGTGAGCATTTTTTTATTTGTTTCTCAAAAAAACTTTTGACAATTCCAGAAAATTGCAATTTCCTGTGAGCAAATCATCACTATTGGATTTCATATCGATTTCACGGAAATCACAGATATCGACAATGAAAGAGTTCAAAAGTGAGTTTTCATTTGAATTTCGAATTTTGAAAACGGAGTTCCAGAATGTTCCATGGAGGCATTCAAAAAATGTTGGATGAAGTTGCAAAACCCTTATTCGATTTGAGACCATCTTCAATGGAAATGGCCTATATGCTGACGCAAATGAGTTGGCAAGTTGCAGGTGAGTCTGAGAATAATTTATTGGTAATTTCAAGAAAATCGAGAAAAGCGGATAATTCTGAAGCGAGTTACGCATTTTTGAAGTTTGAGGCAAGAGACAAGCTAGTTTCTCTGCACCCTCCATTTCTACTGCAGTCTCTCGTCTACAAACTTCAATTGTCTATAACTCCCTTCAAACTGGTACGTTTGGTATGATTTTTAACACATCTAGTTAAAAATATTTGTAGTTTTGAGTCATTTAAAAATTCCTTCATTTTACCCATTTTTAAAAACTGATTTTCGAAAAATTGTGAATTCAAATTTTTCGAAAATTGACAAAACATAAAACTCATAGAATTTTATGTCGAACAGAAAAAAAACCATCCCAAACAGACAATTTTGAAGCGAGTTATCTGCTTTCTAATTTCACAGGCGAGAGAGTGTGTGTAAAGAGGAGAGCGCCGACAAGCTAGCTTCTCTGCACCCTCCCCTTTCCCTGCAGTTTCTCGCCGCCAAACTTCAAATGCCTGTAACTCCCTTCAAAATTGTCCGCTAAAAATGGTTCGTCTATCGGTAGATTTGAAATTTCAAGTAGTTTTTAATAATGTTAAAAATAACAAAAAATTCGCCAACCCAAATCCCTTACGTTTCATTTCGAACAGTATTCTTATCATATTCGAAAATGGGAAACAATTCCGATTCAGCTCTCAGAAAATTATATCAAACGGACCATTTTGAAGGAGGTTAGGACATTTTTGAGTTTGCAGGCGAGAGACTGCAGAGGAAGAGGAGGGCGCAGAGAAGCTAGCTTGTCGGCGCCCTCCTCTTTCCACACACTCTCTTGTATCCAAACTTCAAACACCTATAAATCCCTTCAAAATGAACCGATTTTATTCATTCAAAAACTATTAAAATTAGAATTATATACATTTTTCGACAGATATGAAATTTGGAGCAAAACTAAAAAATTTCAGGGAAAAAGATGCAAGGAAAAGTGGTGGAAATTGGCGAGCGAGTTTGCGACGAGATGGCCAATCACCTTCACACCTATTATTTACAAAACGAGCAGAGATCAAACTACGCGGCCAGATTGGTCAAATTGATGAATGTGGTGAATGCGGTAAACAAAATTCATATGGAAAAACGAGAAGTTTTAGAGTTGGCGAGAATTTTTGATGTTTTTAAGGTCGATTTTTCGGAACCCGATATTTTTGATTGTTAGGGACTTAATTAGGATAATTGGTTTAATTAAAAGTGATGGTTGAGATTCCAAAAAAAATTAAATAGTAACAAGGAATTTTGAAATTTCCAAATGGATTCAAAAAATATTTGTTTTCAAAAATCAAAAAATAATTAAATTAGCATAATTAACTATAATCACCCGCTTGTCATATATGGTTTAACCCAATATTTGTATGTTTTGTCCTTTGTTCAAACGTTTTGTGTCAAATTTTGCATTTTTTGTCGTTTATTGTCTTTTTGTCACTATCAATTAACCCTGGAATGATTAGCTGGCTAGATTTTAATAAATTTGTGTATATATTTTTAAACTCAGAATACTGTTTTTTAATTATCTATTTATAATGGTTAGAGAGCCTATTTATGTCTTTTTTCATATTTTTTTTGAAAATTTTGGATGGTTTTCAAAAGTTCATTTATTTCAATTTTTCCAATACCTCTCTCTCTCTCATTTTCTAATAGTAAGTAATCCTCCCTTTTAAGATAATTTTATCATTCTTACTGAGAATGTTTCTTAGTGAGAACCTTTCTCAGTGAGAATCTTTTTAGTGGTAATTTTTCTTAAAGGCGGGGGGACAGGAGATTTTACGGGGGATTTTTGGGGCCAGAGTATGCATTCTACCGTAACGGTGTACAACGCTCAATGTCACTCTGCGTACAGCTGTCGTCCTCGCCTTTATGTATGCAATCGGGCGTCCGCTTTATCTTTGCCCGCGTGGCTCAGTCGGTAGCGGCGCCGCACCCTCAATCATCGCCCTCACAAGTTCAACTCCTCGAGGGGCATCTTTGAACGGAATTTCGAGAACATTATTTTTTTCATTTCCCCCCACCTTTAAAAATTTTAGTCTTCCGTTTGTTTTTCGCTAAGCTACCATGGTACATAGCATAGAAAACGCAATAGGTAAGTATCAAGACATTTCTAGACTCGAAAAGTTGGTCGGCCTAATATGACGAAAAAAGGCCGTCATAGTAAATGGCTTAGAAAACACATCAGGTGGATATCAGGTCACTTCTAGGCAATTTAGCATGGTGACCTAAAAAATCAATGTTAAAGGTGGGGGGACAGGAGATTTTACGGGGGATTTTTGGGGCCAGAGTATGCATTCTACCGTAACGGTGTACAACGCTCAATGTCACTCTGCGTACAGCTGTCGTCCTCGCCTTTATGTATGCAATCGGGCAGCGGCTTTCTCTTTGCACGTGTAGCTCAGTCGGTAGCGGCGCCGCACCTTCAACACTCGCCTCGACAAGTTCAGCTCCTCGAGGAGCATATTTAAACAAAATTTCGACAACATTATTTTTCTCATGTCCCCCCACCTTTAATGAGAATTTTTCTTAGTGAGACTTTTTCTTGATGAGAATCTTTCTTTGTTAGAATTCTAGTCATTCTTTTTAATCTTGTCTTTTCTTTTCCATTTCTCTCTCTCTCTCTCTCTCTCTCTCATCTTATCTTATCTTATCTCTCTTCTTCGCCGTACCCCTTCAAATTTACTAATTCCCAAAAATTCCAGAAAAACCCATGTCGTCAGTCGCCTCACCATCAGACTGTTCATCAGAATCCTCCACGTCACCTACTACGCTAAATGGACCAATTTGTAAAATTTGTGGCCTAACAGCCCATGGATTACATTTCGGAGTACTAACATGCAGAGCTTGTGCAGCATTTTTTAGGTACAGTTTTGGGGGGCGTGGCCTAGAAAAGTCTAGGCCATGAAAACTTTGTGGTTTGTGGTTTTTGAAGATCTAAGGATTATGATGCCCAAAAAGATTATCTTTTCAGAAATTTTGATAGGATTTTTTATTTTGCAAAAATAATTTAGGGGAAATCAGAAAGAATTTTTAAATTTCCAATAAATTTTTTAGGCGAACAGTTGTAATGGAACGGGACAAAAAATACAAGTGTCGAGGCGGTGAAGATCGGTGTGCAGTTAGTAGTACAGATAGGTAAGCTTTTTTCAAATTTTCGAATTTCTACAAAAATCACACATTTTTCTGATTCCAATAGTCTAAAAATGACTTTTCTAGCTAAATTATGAAGTGAGAATCAGAAAAAAGCTGAAATTTATGATTTTTCTTTTAAATTTAGTTTTTAATCATTTTTAAAATTTCTATATTTCGAAAAAAAATTCCCAGTTCTTTTTGATTTCAATGATCAAAAAATTAGCTGGCTAGATTTCGAAGGGAGTTGTGAGCTTTTGAAGTTTTGACGCAAAATAGCGTGTGGAGAGAGGGAGACGCAGTGAAGCAAGATTCTCGGCTCTATTCTAGTTTAGAGGTCCCAAAAAAAAATAGAGGTCCCAAAAAAAAAATAGAGGTCCAAAAAAAATAGAGGGCAAAAAAAAAATTAGAGGTCCCAAAAAAATAGAGGTCCCAAAAAAAATAGAGGTCCCAAAAAATAGAGGTCCCAAAAAAAATTAGAGGTCCCAAAAAAAATTAGAGGTCCCAAAAAAAATTAGAGGTCCCAAAAAAAATAGAGGTCCCAAAAAAATAGAGGTCCCAAAAAAAATTAGAGGTCCCAAAAAATTAGAGTTCCGAAAGCAAAGTGCGGTATTCTCAAATCAAAGTTTGGGTGAACAAAATTTTTGGCTGAACAGAGATTCAATTTTTTTTTCAATTCAAATTTTATTAATAACATTTTGTTCAACGTTTTATTAATCTTTCTTCATTCGCTGACCACGAATTGGTACACTTCCGCGAGCTCTTCCACGAGGTCTCCCTCTTCCCGGAATTGATCGTCCAGCGGCTCCGGAATTTTGTGTCGAACCACGCCGGTTGTTATTTTCTGCAGTATTTGTTCCAAGAGCGGTGGAAGAAACTCTTCCACGAGCCGATCCACGAAGTCCCAAACGAGGGCCCCTACTTCCACGAGATTTCCCACGAGTTGTTCCTCGTTGATTTGTGCCAACATCTGCTCCATTATTTATACGGCGACTAGTCTTACGAGATGTCCCAGTAGATGATGCAGAAGATGTGCGTCCTGAAACTGGATGAGGAGGCGAATCACTTTCTGTCGCAGAAACTCCAATAGTGCGGTTTAGGGAATTCTGAGAAAGCGATGACGGTGTTGATTGATGGAGTCTTCGACCACGACTTCTGGATCTGCCGCGAGATGTTCCACGAACACTAGTACTCACAGGAGAGTTTTCAGGACTTTCTCTTTTAATAATACATTCTAATAAAAATTTAGCTCTTCTGTTCACAATTTGATGAAACAAAATTTGAGAATACCACACTTTGTTTTGGGACCTCTAATTTTTTGGGACCTCTAATTTTTTTTGGGACCTCTGAACTAGAATAGAGCCAGATTCTCTGCGTCTCCCCTCTCACTAGGGAAGGCCCCAACTCGGGCGTGGAGATACGGATTGTGACCTATATCATCTGAAAGCTGACATTTTTCTGATTCCAAATCTATTTTCAAAAAGTGCATTGTCATGGTAGTTTTCGAGAAAATTGGCTCGAAAGTTTCGAAAAATGACGTGGATTTTTCATCTCATTTTCCTTCCTCACGTATATAAGTTTTGAAGCGTCGAAAAAATGTGGAAGCGTGGTCGAATGGTTAGTGAGGAGCAATATCAAGTGATGACTCTCTGGTTCGACTCCCTCGACCTGCTAAACTTTTTTTGAATTTTTTCTTCATTCTTTCCGGTGACCGTATCTGACTTGTAAAAATGGACATAGGTTATCGAATCTCGTGAAACAACTTTTTTACTGATTCTCTTTGTTTTGAACTGATTCAAGCACATTAAAATTTGTTTTCGAAAATTGAAAAAATGCAAAGGCGATTTTCTCAAAAAAAAATTTCCGAAAAAAAAAAGAAAACCTTTTCAGATTGTAGAAAAGCATACAAAAGACGAATAACATTTAAATATAGCCAAAAAAGTCAATAACTTTTTCAGAAACTCACTCCAAAAATGAGAAATTAGTACTGTAGTCACTTTTATAGCTCATAACTTTTTTTCACAAGGACGGGGTGGAAAAACTGACTTCAGTTCTGTAATCAGCGTGCCCAAAAGGACCAATGACAATAGTTTGAGCAAAATCAAAAGAATGCGGTTTGTCTAAAATCTTCAATGGATCACAATCCTTTGAAAATTGTGGAAAAATAGAAGAAAATAAAAAGTTTCGAAAATAATAGGTAAAACAGTTAAAATCAAAATGGAAACCAATTCCACGTATATGGAATCATATAGGATCACCTAGAAGTCAGATACAGTCTCCGGAAAAAAACAAAGAAAAAATTCAAAAAAAGTTTAGCAGGTCGAGGGAGTCGAACCAGAGAGTCATCACTTGATATTGCTCCTTACTAACCATTCGACCACGCTTTCACATTTTTTCGATGCTTCAAAACTTATATACGTGAGGAAGGAAAATGAGATGAAAATTCCACGTCATTTTTCGAAACTTTTGACCCAATTTTCTCGAAAACTACCGTGACAATGCACTTTTTGAAAACAGATTTGGAATCAGGAAAATGTCAGCTTTCAGATGATATAGGTCACCACCCGTATCGCCACACCCGAGTTGGGGCCTTCCCTAGTCAGTGCGCTATTTTGCCTGCAAACTTTGGAAACGTATAACTTCCTTTGAAATGGCCAGTTAGGGTTCATTTAAACATCATTTTGAATGAGTTTTTAGAGTTTTTTGAATTTTGATTTTTCAGTTTTTTAATTTTTGTGAAATTTTGTATTCTGGAAAATTGAACACTCGATAGTAATTTTTGAAAAACATACATTTTCTGATTCAATTGAATTAAAAATGACTACTCTGAAACTATTTTGAAGCTAGTTATACTATTTCTAAGTTTGAGGGCGAGAGAGTGTAGGAAACGGGGAGAACGCAGGCGAGCAAACACTCTGCTTGTCTGCGTCCCCCTCTTCACTACAATCTTTAAGAAGCCAAAATTGAAAACCGAATAACTAATTTCTAAATTGTATTTTCCATTTGATTCTTCAAATTGAAATCTACAAACAATTCTAATTCAAATGCTAAAAAAATCAATTTAAACGAATAATTTTGAAGAGAGTTATCAGCTTCTGGAGTTTAGAGGCGAAACAGCAGGAGATAAGGAGAGGGAGCAGACAAGCTAGCTTCTCTGCACCCTCCTCTTTCCATGCAGTCTCTTGCCGCTAAACTTCGAAGGCCTATAACTCCCTTCAAAATTGTCCGTTTCAAATGATTTTTTGACTGTCAGACATGAAAATTTATGAGTTTGTGAGCTGAAAATTATCAAAAATATAAATTCAGGACTTATCGAAAATGGATTTTCAAGTCGTCAACATAATGAAGATTTTTAAACGAATAGTAAATACGAAACATTTCAACTCAAACAGTGAAAAAATGAATTCAAACTATAATTTTGAGCAAGTTGCGTGCTTTTCAAGTTTACAGGCGAAATAGCTTAGAGAGAGGAGAGGTGCAGACAAGCTAGCTTCTCTGCACCCACCACTTTCCACACACTCTCTCGCCTGCTAACTTTGAAGTCTCATAACTCGCTTCAAAGTGGTTCATTTTGAATGCTTTTTTGAGTATTTTGATTGCAATTAATCCAAAAATAATAATTTGCAGATACCAATGCCGTCTCTGTAGATTCAACAAATGCGTCGAGCTCGGAATGACACCAGAGAACGTGCAATGGAATCGAGACTCAATCCCAACAAGTCGAAAACGGAAGGAAGATGAACCTATAATACCAGCGAACGATCTAAAAGCATTATCCTATCCAGAAAGTTCTTTACTAGGGAAACCGAGGACCATAATGGATATAACAATATTGGCATCAAAAATCAAAGAGATTCTAAACGAGAAATCCGGCGGAATCGATGCGATCACAAAGAAAATGAATACTTTAGAAATTGCGGATTATGGATTAAAGAAATGGAGAAATCAGCAAAGGTCGGAGGAGAAAATGAAGTGCTGGAGGTGCTTCCAGTTCGACAAATGTTCGCAATTTTCGAGAAACAGATGATTGTGGTGGCAGAGTGGTTGATACAACAGCCGGATTTTAGACTGTTGGATGCAACGGAAAGAGTGAGTGGGTTCCTGTCTAACAGTCAAAAAATCATTTGAAATGGACTACTCTGAAGGGAGTTATAGACATTTGAAGTTGGGCGGCGAGAGACTGCATGGAGAGCAGAGGAGGGAGAGAAGTTAGCTTGTCGGCGCCCTCCTCTTTCCACACACTCGCTATACTCCAAAGTTCAAACGTTCGTAACTTGCTTCAAAAAAGTCTGTTGTGATGATTTTTGCACTATTGGGATCGACATTTTTGTAGTTTTTATTAATTTTAGATTATTTTTATGCTGATGGCTCAAAACACATTTTTGAGACTCATGAACCCTAAAATGTTGGTAACTTACAGAGCAAAAAAAAAAACAAACATAAAATTTCCTATCTCTCAGTCTAAAAATGATTTGAAAAGGTCTATTTTGAAGGGAGTTGTGGCATTTTGAAGTTTGCAGATTAGAGACTGCAGGGGAAAGAGAGACGAAGACACGCAGAGTGTTCGCGCGCCTGCGTCTCGTATTCTCTCGCCGGTAAAACTTCAAACGACTGTAACTATCTTCAAAATGGTTCATTTTCGCTGATTTTTTTACCATTGAACTCGAAATTTTTTAAATTTTTTGGTCATTTTTAGTTCTTTCATTTCTGATAACTTATAACAAGTTTTCGGAAAATCGTGAATCCCAAACTGATGAGAATGTTTGAAAAAAAACAAACATAAATTTTCAGGACTAACAGTCAAAAAGTCATTTAAAACGGACTGTTTTGAAGTAAGTTATGAGTCTTTGAAGTTTAGCGGCGAGAGACTATGGGGAAGAGG